TCCAGGGGACCCTGGGGACCACTCTCTGAGAATTGATAAAACTGTTCTGAAGTGTTTTGGTCTAAATTGGCATTCCATAATGCAGCTCCTTAAAATTTTCTATGATTAACTGCCCCTCCAACTCTTGTTCCATCTATTACCTAATTCAGGACAAGTGAATTAATGTCAAACAAAAATGTGGGTAGATATTCTATTTCTAACTCAGATGCAAATCTTTTGAATTGATTTTTTCTTTTCTTGTTTGAAGATCAGTGCCATCATTTTTATAACTGAAGGACTGTGGAATATCCTGCATAATATTTCATAGAAATTTTGTTTGATCTTGGAAGATCTGTGATAGTCTGGAACATTTTTACACTGGAAGTAAAGATATAATATCATTATGGAAGCATTCATTACATATGAAGATATCTCTTTGGGTAGTATTTATAAAAGCAGTCAGTATAAAGATATTTAAAGAAAGATATCTATTGGTGTAACTACATATCTTGTGACCAGTCTTAACAATCTACCAAGGGAACCAGGAATTACACATTGAATTACATCTGCCGCAGGCTGCTCTCACTTGCCCTAGAAGGGCAGGAAGCATGTTTATTTTATTTGCTACCTAGAATAGTGCCTGGCATGACTAAAATGTTTCTCAGAAGAATGAACATGTCAAGAATTGTTAAACACATAGATATAAAATAAATATTTAGTTCTTGTTCTCAAGGCACTTAAGCCTAGTTGGAGAGAGAATCCAGGACATCCTAAATAATATAACCTGGGACAAATGCAAATAATATGTACAATACTTACTGAGGGAGTTTAATGAAGGGAGACAGCAGTGAGAGCTGGGCCTTGAAGTATGAAGTAAGTCTTGAGTAGGGGAAAGGTATGGGTTATTTTTTTCCCCGTGCAAATTGTAGAATATGTCTTATGAGATTCTTCATGATCTGGCCTCTGCCTGCTTCCCCAGCTTCATCTCTCACTGTTCTCTGCTGTCCCCAAACCCTAAGTTTGTACAAGGTGAGACACTGTCTTTTTGTATGAGCTGCTCCCTCTCCCTAAAAAGCCAGGCACTGCCACCCCGCAGCCACTTCTTCGTCAGTCTAACTTCGCTAAGGGGAGGATTTCCACATACTGCAAGGTTTTCCCAATTCATTCCCCTGAAGATACAGGATTACACAATGTCCTTAGCCCTTTCCAGATAGTTCCAGAACACAGCAGAATGAAACTAGACCTTCTGACCTAGCTCCTGCAACCCTTGGTTGCATATCAGGTAGATAGTCCAAAAACTCTAGTATGTCCATTTTAGCTCTGTTTTTGATGTGGCTTGTTTTCAGGCTCCTACACCATTACATTCTCTCCCCATTACTAACATCATGAATTGATTTGAATCTCATTACATTAGAACAGTTCTCCTGCTTCTCATCCTGCAGTTCATGAAGACTAGAACAATTCTTCCTCCTTTTAGGTCAGTAGAGTGCTAGGTCTGCAATTAAGTCTTATTTTAATAAGTGTATATGACAGTCTTTCATAAATACCAGTGCTGGAAAAGACCAAATAGGAGACTGGTTTTATTTATAGACTCACAGGCATGCAGCTCTGTCTATATCTCCATGCCTTAAAACCTAAACTCAATCATCTTACATTTTTATTATGTGATGTATATTTGGGGATACAGGTGGTAGTGGCAAAGATAGGCTTCCTGTTTCCAGGAAGATTTTATTTGCTGATGGCATCATTCTGTATTTTGATTTGCTTTTATATTTATCATAGGTTGATAGGGATAATATGCAATAATCAAAAAAGTAGTTTTCTTAGTATTTGTATACATAACAGAAAGTTAAAATAGGAGTCTGCATTTTAGTCTGTTTTAACAGAAGATTTATCTCAAAACAGCACATGGCAGATAGTCCTACATTCAGAATAAAGTGCTAGAATACCTGTTCAGAACTGCAGAGGAGGTACTGAATGTTAGTTTTTGTATTCTTCTTAGCCAGTATCCACCTTGAGGAAATAAAAAGTACTGATGTTGATGAAAAAGTCCTAGAGAATAATGAGGTGCTTCATCTAAACCAGATGTTCTTAATCCGTGTTAAAAAGACCTGAGTCTACTCTATTTAGATCCATGGTTGGGCTTCAGAGAGTTTAACCATCGGTTTCCACTCTTTTGTTTATTTTTTTATTTTTATTTTTTTGTTGTTTTATTATTGTGGTAAAATATACATAACATAAATGTATCGTTTTAGCCATCTGTAAGTGTACAATTCTGTGGCACTAAATACACTCACAAGTGTTGTATAGTTATCACCACTATCTATACTCAAATCTTTTTTTCATCATCTCTCAAATAAACACTGTATCCATCCACTCCATGAGTGTGTGTAAGTGTGTGTACACTGGTTCAGTTTCTGCACAGGTTTCTAGTTGTGTCCCAGAATATCAGGAGCCACTGCCTTACACAGTTCTTTGTGTTGCTACTGGCAATAAGTGAATGAATGGCCATCAAGTCTAGTTTGGCTCTAGAGTTCTTACATTCTGATTAATGCTATTCCAATGCTGCCTTTGAACGTTCTTCTCCCTCTGCCCAACCTGGAAAGAAGATGTGCTGACGGAGCCCGTTAGTAGCATAGAAAAAATAAACCCAATTGTTTCTTTTATACTCTTTCTTCATTTTGACTCTTTCCAAACCACATGATCTTGGAGAATTTCTTCCCCTCTGGGAACAACTTGATTCTTGGAAAATATATTATTAACTCGGGGTCATGATTGTTTGAAGGTCAACCTTTATTCTCCCTTTTCCCTCCAGAGTTTGCCAAAACTCCCTTTGTTTCTGCTTTGGTTTGCTGCTTGGCGAAGGGGGTTGGCCATAGAGAAGTGACCTTGAAGCTTATGCTTCATCTTTCCCTCTGTCACCATGCATCACTGTAAGGACAGAAAATAATTGGGTAGAAAATAAAGTCCTTGCCTGAAAACCAGAGAGCCAGAGATCCCCACATTCTAGATCTGCAGGCTTCAGTGAATTGAATGTCGTAATCTTGGTAAAATATAGCCATCACATATAGCCCGACAAATGTACAATGGAATCGTAGTAAATCATCATCAGACAGCATGGTATAATAGAAAGTACACAAGCTTTATTATTTTTTTAATTGAGGTAAAATTTATATAATAGACACAAATTTTAAACTTTAAAAATTACCCTAGGTTCATGCCTCAGCTGTTTCTCTTCCTGGATAAGTTACTTAATCTCGTCCAAGGCTCAGTCTTTTCCTCTATAAAATGGGAATGACAATAAGAATATCTATCTCACAAATGCATGGAACGTTTTTCTGTAGGTTTACATAAAGAATAAATTTGATATCAGTGTCTGGCCTAGAGTAAGCATTCACTAAGTGGTAGCCATGGTTAACATTGGTAATAATAAAATGCTACAAGAAATAATTGACTGAAATACCTTTGTCCTCTGAAAATTGTTTCAGATTCTGAAAACACTGGATATGGCTCTTCAGTCTGATTTTCCATAGCACCTTTTGCTCGTATGCTCAGCAACAGGGATGCTTATGTGGTCTTATTTCATGCCTGGGGCGACAGGAGAAAAATTGAATGGCATCCAGCCCATGTGCTATTTTGGCCTCTTTTCCCCCTGGGTGGTATCATGGCAGCCATGTAATCCATCTGGCATTCTCTGATGCTCTGCAGCTCCAGGAGGTGTTCAAAGGGATGGAAATGGCACAGTGAAGTGTCATGTGCCCAAAGACTGTGCTTACTGCAGGAAGCTGTGAATCCTAGAGAGCTAAAGAAAAAAATTTGCATTCCTTTTGAAAATGTTTTGGGTTCGTTTATGCCTTAATGCTTTTTTCTCCTTTAAACAGAGCACATGCTTTTATTTAAAAAAAAATTTTTTTTAAATAAGAAGTTTATTTAAACAACAATATACTTGAAGGGAAAACTATCTGGAATTAATTTCTTTTAAAATAATTTATCCTTACTTAAAGACAGATTGCCCTACATGTAAGAGCTACATACAAAAATGTCCTTGGTTTTACTATAAAGAAAAATATTAAAATTCTCCAATTGAACAAGGTATGCAAGGATTTCCATGTTGTCCTTTTTTTGTTAAATAGTGAGAGCAAAACGACTTACTGGAATATAAAGATAGGAGCAGAATGAGCATGCCACTACTGGAGAGAGGGGCTATTTTCACAGAACCAGTATTTTTTTCTATCCCATCCCTATTTGATGTCAATCAAAACATACCATTGACTATTTAGTTAAAAAAATGCAAATGCTTGTGCACATACATCAGTTACTTTATGTACAATAAAGGGATGGAGAAGAGAAAAGTAAAAGAATAGAGAAAACTAAAGTAGTGTCAGGATGTGTTGGAACCAAGCTGTGGATTTCTAAGTGAGAATGTCTTCTTGATCAAGAGGAGCAGAGTTCTGGAGTAAAGTAGCAGGTTCTCTGTTTAGTGGACACCTCCTGTCTGCTGCTAAAACACATCAATTGTACCTTCATCCTCCATTTCCAACCGTGCAGGTGTGTCTGTTTCATTGAATGGCTGCCCATCCAATGGGAATCTGATCTGCCTCATTGACAAACCCAGTCATTCGCAATAGGCTTTTATTGGTTTACTAAGTGGTGTATGCCTCTTCATCTTAAACTGCACCACAGAACCATCCTGCCCCGCCACCCTCAGTCGTTCTCAGTCTCGACTCTTTCTTTGGGCTTTTCATTAGACAGGGAGAATGCCAGAGTCTCCTCAGCTGCCTCACAGAAGTGGTACCAGGTCTGCACTGAATGAGCACACAGGCAACACCAGGAACAGCAGAAGCCAGAGCACATGCTTTTAAAAAATTGTAATTGTATGTTTGCTTAATGGTGTATAATTATATATATCAAGTAAATATGTAATTATGGAGCACTTTAAATTAATATTATTTACTTGATTGATTTAATGATTCTGGAGCTATTAGCCTATTGTGCTAAGAACAATTTAGCCAATTTTTAGCTGAGACTCATTACAGATATTGACATATAGTGTTCGTATGGGTGACATACGGTTTCTAAAACATTTAAGAATATTTCTCAGAAAAACAAATTTCCCACACTTTTACATGGTTGTGATCTAAAAAACAACAAAATCGATTCACCTATTCCTTCCTCAAGATATTGCACATGTAGACAAATTTAATTACAAGAAGAGATTGTCAAGTGAGATTCATTCTTTCACTCATTCATTCACTCAGCAAATACCTACTGAGCACCTGCCATTCAACTAGTACTTGCACACTGTATTTGGATTATAAAAATGAATAAGTTATGGTCTCGCTTAGTGTCTAGAATGGAAACAGACATAAAGAGTTAATTTCAGTACAGCTTGACAATCAGCTGGCACTTACTGTATTTACATTGTGTTACATAATTCGCACAACAATCTCGTAAAGCCCATTTACACTTTAGAATTGAGGCTTGGACAGGTTAGTAACTTGCCTAAGGATAATTAGGTAATAAGTGGTAGAGCCAAGGTGAAAACCCAGACTGTGGGCTTACCTATGTTGCTCTAGGTGAATGGACAAGAGATAGGTACAAAGATGACTAAGTTGACTAAATAATTCTGTTTGTGGGTGTTAGAGAAACTGTCAGAGACAAGAGAACACTTGAACTTGGGTTTTGAAGGATGAATAGGGATTTACCAGAGAAGAGAAGTCATTGCAGACAGGAAACAGCTTGTACAAATGTACATTTTGCAATTTCTCTGATGGCAAAATTTATCTTCCCAATTATCATCCTTATTATTATTTTAAAAAATCAGTATATCATCTCCATTCCTTGAGAATACATCAGTGGGGAATCTATCTGGGAATAAAAGGGACAGAAACAGCCCTGAATTGTGTCAGGTAAAAGGGACAACCTGTTAGGAAGTTTATATCAACAGAGGCCCAATACTGGGTCACCCTGGATTGTTTTGTAGCTATGTCAAGCAATTCAACTGTTGTTTAATAAACCACATCTATCATTCCCAAAGTATAGGAAAGTGGGTAACCTGGTAGGTTCCCTGCCAGTACTCCACAATCGTCTTGTAGAAAAAAAAAATTGTTACAAATTAACCAAAAAGAATGCCCATTTTTGGCAGCCCCAGAGAGAGAAACGCTACTTTTGCTTTCAGATGTCAGTTCTACCGAGACCACACGTAATTTCCCATTTATATTTTGATTGTTTATTATCTGGTTACCAGAAAAGGGCAGACCAAACAGATTGCTTCTACCCCACTTTCCCCATTGTTAAATATTAAGAATTTGAGACATTTGGGTTTTCTTAGACCAGTGGTGTTGGTGATGCAGAACACTTTCTGATGACACCATGCACATAAAACCTATTCTTTCTCCAGAGTTTTCTACCTCAGCAGATGGCATCTGCTTCCGTTTTTTTAAATCTAGCCATTCAAGCTGGAGGCCTGGAGTCATCCTTGACTCTTTGTCCCCCTTCTCTTTCTTAAGTACACCCCTCAACGCTCATACACTGCCATCATGTGATCAATCGACCATCTAATCTTGTGTTAGGTGTTCCACTTCCTCTCTATTTCTTGAGTCTCTCAAATCTTTTTGTACCCACTGCTTCTCATCTCAGTCACCACCATCCCTTGCATAGACTCCTCAGCAGCCTCATGACTGGTCTCCCTGACTACTCTCATGTCATCTACATCCATTCTCCATACTGGATCTTGAGATATCTTTAGAAAATGCAGATCTGAGAGCCACTTTTTTCTAAAAATACTTCTTTCAGCTTCTAACAAGGCCCTGTATGATCTGACCCTTTAGTTTATACTCTCACCATATGGGGTTTCATTCCTTTTTTTCCCAAACATTTGGCTCTTATCAGACCACAGGGTTTTGCATTGGCAGTTACCTGGTAAAATAATAATAGCTAACATTTATTGATCACTTTGCATATGTCAGATATTCAGCTAAGCCCTTGAAATAGATTCTCATGTAGTATCCACAGCCCTGTCAGGTAGGTAGGTAGGTAGGTAGGTATCATTGAACACATTTTATGAAGAAAGGCTTAAAGAGATCCCAAAGTTAGCCCAAATTTAAGATTCTCTTTATTGTTTATTCATTAGTGAATATCTAAATTGAGGCTCATGCATAGTATTTTGAGAGAAATGACAATCTCAACCAGTGTCCTGTTGTAGCACAATGATTTATATTCAGAAGACCAAGTTGCAGTGCTGGTACTGACCAGCAGTGTGATTTTAGACAAGACAACCTCTGAGAGTCAGTTTTCTCATCTGGAAAATGGGGACCGTATTAATACCTGTCCTACGTGATTGTTGTACAGATCAGAGCCAAGCAGAATTTTTGGAACACAGTCGATGCTATATAATATGTTAAATGAATATGTGTATTAGCTGAATGAAAATGCTGAAGGTTGGCCCCACGAAGTTGGGGGCCCCGTTGTTAAAAGAGAAATAAGAGCCCTGAACAAGGTTTGGCTCACTCTGCAGCACTCTTCGTGTTATCATGAGTGTTGGGATAAAATTAGGAATAGTTCAGGATTTGTAAGATAAACCTGTAATTAAACCTCTAGCAGTCAGATCAAAGCATTTTATTAATAGAAATTAAATTTGGAGCTTTGCGCAGTGATAGTATTATAGCCAATGAGATTTGTCTAAGGCGCAATTATTGCTAATTGAAAAAAATTTTGTGTAATCTCACAGCATAAAATAATCCAAATATGTAGTTTAAGTAGTCTAGTCGACTTTAAAATGTGTTTCAAAATGTGTTTTTGTACCTTTACTGAAACAGAATTTTTTAATTAAAAAAATTACTGGACTTAACAACTCTTCTTTCTGTGTTTAAACTCTGTTCGTGACTCTTCTTGGCTATATTAAAAGAGAATAGAGTATCACTTCCAGAAGAAGTTGTTTGGTGTGATACTGTTTATGGAGAGGAAGTTGCAAGGGGAATTCATTTCCTTTTACTGTGTTCCCTTAGGTCTCAGAATGCAGTTGGCCCATTAGGCAGGCCCCCAGTCTGCACAACCTCTTCGCTGTGTGTCGGAATATGTACAACTGGCTCCTACAGAATCCTAAAAACGTCTGTGTTGTCCACTGCTTGGTGAGTGATTTCCGTTGTTGTCGTTGTCTGTGGTGGTTGACTACGGCTGGCTCTGCGCAGACCGATAAACTGGTAACATTTAACTTGAACTTATAATTTATCGAGCTCCTACTTAGTTTAGAAATTAGGTGATCTGAGGGATGACCTTATTACTCTTGCCTTAAAATTTGAGTACTAGTGGGAGAGGCAGATATGTACACAACCTACATCATACAGGGCCTCTAGAATGTGCTAAGTATTATAACAGAGGTAGAAACAAGAGCTGTGGGTGCAGAGGTAAAAATGCCGTTGAGTTTTTTGTATGAATAATGTTGATATAAACATATTGGAATATTTATTTTTTCAAAATAATTTTTTGTTTGTTAATTACAGTTAACATACAATGTTATATTAGTTTCAGGTGTACAACATAGTGCTTAGACATTTATATAACTAAATGATCACCTCAATAGGTCTAGCACTCATCTGATACCATACATACTACAATATTATTGACTATATTCCCTATGCTTTCCTTACTTTCTGTGTTTGAATTAAAGTGAAATTAAAAGACACCTGTGCCCTTATAAAGTAGTCACATAGATTGACTGTATTTTACTGAAATTCCCAATGGGACTGATGACTTTTCTGACCACTGACTTCATAGAGTTCCTTTTCCTAGCCCTTCCTCAGGAGGCTTCTTACCTATTGTTTAAAACTCAATGTTCTTTTGAGCATTTTCATGAAATGGACATTCCCGTTGTATACGTAAATGCCTCTGTGGCATTCAATGCACTGCATTGTCATACTGGTGATCTGCCTGTTTCTACTAAACTGTGAGAACTATGTCTTCTTCACCTTTGCACTCTAGCTATGAAAAATTTTAATAAGTGATTGACAACATAAACAAATGAACACACAAATGGAATCTGAACATAAACACTCGAAATAGTCATTGCTTCTATAAACTTCAAGGTACATATTCTTTTTACTGTGCTCGCACTTGCTGATTTTCCCCCTTCTTGAGAGCCAGTTGGCTAAGAGAGAAGAAAGCCGAAGAACATTTTTTCTTTCCACTGCACATCCCAAACTCTTGGCAACAAAGGAAAAATACTTGGTGTTCATAGGAGTTTAACATTAAAGGCCCAAGGATTTTCCTTTTGAAGGCATAGCAGACTGTAAAACAAGATAGATTACTTTTAGGCACCAAGCAGTCTTTAGGTACCTCAGTGATTTCTTTTCACTCAAGACTTTCTAAAATTTCAGAGGGCCTAGGTCTGTTGGCTTTGTAAGGGAAGATTGCTCAAGACAGACCAGAGGCTTTCAGTTGATACAGTCTTAAAGAATAAAATCTCAATGAAGAAGAAAATAGAAGAGGCGGACAAATGATGATGACTCTTTAGGTTGCTTTCGAGACTCACTGAAAAAGGACATGCGTGACTTGGTAGTATGCAGCAAGTCTTCGGGCAATAGAATTGAAGCTGGAGGTGGGAGCTTTTATTTTTATTCTATCTATACTTCTATTTTATTAAAAATAATAAGCATATACTTGACTTTTAATAAAGATAATAATTGTTTAAAAGACCTGCATGGCAGATAAAAGAAGGAGACACATATCCAAGTGCCATGGATCTGTTAAAAGAGTGTCAAGAAGGCTAAATTCTAAAAGGAATTAAGAATGAGAAAAATGTCTTAAAAAAAACCCCCACACACCTGTCCTTGGAATAAGGACAACAACAGATGCTTGAGGCTCATGGTTTAATCTTAACTCCTTTATTCTGCTTCTTTATGGGGAGGGGGATGGAACAAATGTCAAGCTAGAAAGGGAGTAACAATGATAATTAAGACAAAGCTGATAGATAGTGACATAGTAAAAGAGCCTCCTCACAGTATTAATAATCTACCCTCTAAACTTAAATTATGTGACAGAATGCTGAAAGCATTAGGATAAGCAATTATGTATTTTTTATGTAGAAACTGGAAGAAGAGGGGCCAGGCAAGTAAAGAGAGATTGTATCCAAAAACCAGAGGGAGTTGATCCTGGAAAGCTACAGGCTGGTAAACCTGATGGCAATTCTGGTGAAATTCTCATGTAAATTTTTACACAGAGGATTTTCAACTGTTAGAGAAAAAAAACCCAAATTGGTTCATTATGAACACACGTATCAAATCAACTGAACTTTATGCAACAAGACTAATAGATTAATAGAAATAGTTTATTGGATTTCTGTAAGATATTTCTCAGTTTTTGTAATCAAGATAGAGAAACTTAGGTTAGGTTGTTATACATTTAGTCAAATTGTACCTGAATATCTGCTTCCAAAGGTAGGTGATAATCAGCAGCCTCCCAAGGTTGCATTTAGTGCCGTTTAATTAACAACTTTGATAAAGATGTAGAGATCAAGCTTATCCATTTTCTCCGATTGGGAGGGTCACATAATGAATCTGGACTTAAACTAACAATGTGAAATTAAACACAGGATAAATGTACGATCTTGAATGCTGGTTCTAAAAGAGTAAATGTATTTGTCTATCAATTTAACACATCTGAAAAAGAACTAAGGGTTTTAGTGGATAGAAAGTTCAATCAGAGCTTATGGTGTGACTTAGCCTGCACTTAAACCAGCTTGGCCTAGGGTTATTTTAATAAAAGCATAGTGTCCAAATTAAGTAAGATGATATTTCCTCTCTAGTTTGGGCAGAACGCATCACATTTTGCATTTCACATCTGGACAGCACATTTAAGGTTGTTGTTTTAAAACTGGACTCTTATTCAGAAGGAGTATACCAAACGATGTCTCTTAAAGTGGGAAATCAAATGAGGAAGAATTGAAGGGATTATGTATTAGTCAGGGTTCTTCCAAGAAGCGGAACCAATAGGACATGTAAAGAGTGATATAGAAGAGGAGATTTATTATAGGAATTGGCTCATGTGTTTACGGAGGCTGAGAAGTCCCATAATCTGCCCTCCACAAGCCTGAGAACCAAGAAAGCCATTGATATAATTTAGTCTGTGTAAGTCAAGTGTAAGTCAGGGTGTCAGAAGGCCCTCAAACCAAGAGTTTCTATGTCTGAGGGAAGGGAAAGATAGAGGTCCCAGCTCAAGAAGAGAGGATTTGCCCTTCTTCACCTTTTTGTTCTATTTGGGCCTTCAGCAGATTGGATGGTTGCCTTCCCCACCCTCCTTTAGATGGGTGGATCTCTTTTCACAGTCTACTGATTCAAATGCTAATCTCTTCCAGAAACACCCTCACAGATACACCCAGACACTGTGTTTTATCAGCTATCTGAGTTTCCCATAGCCTAATCAAGTTGACACATAAAATTAACCATCATGGATTGGGCGTGTATTTAACCTGGAAAATAAAAATGTTGATTGAAAGGGAGGATATTCAAATCTATGTGAGGGGGAAAGGAGTAAGTTTACTCTTGGTCTTCACAGAAGGAAGAATGAGGACCATTGAGTGGCATAGACTTCAACTCAACATAGTCAGGATAAGAAAGAACTTTGTAAACTGGACTGGGCTACTTCAAGTAGTAGTAGGCTCCCTGTAACTTGAAGTGTTCTAGAAGAGGTTGAGTCACCATCTATCAGGCATGTTATTGCATGTATTCCTCCAGCGAATGAGGTTGAATCAGGTGAAGCTTCTTTTATATGATTTTATGGGAACATATTTTGTGTGAAACACATACATAGCATATTCCAAAAAGCGCTATTTACCTAACCTTTGAACTCTACCTCCAGCCTGAAATCAAGGGACCTCAACTGTTAGTTCTGATGCCACAAGTCCAAAATTACTTTGCAGATTAGATTATTGTTTTGGTAAATATTTGCAAATCAAATTTATATTGCTGGGTTTCTTAGGTTAGTAGAGAGTCAACTTTATCCTAAGAATAAGTCTTTCCTTTCTGCTTTGTGATTTAAACAGCTGGATCAGATTTGGTTTTCAAGTAAACAATTTTGAACTGAAGGCATGTCCGGTCATGAAGATTTCTCTCCTCTCTCCCTCCCCACTAAGAAGTACAGCCATTCTTAGTGGTCAGTGGCTAACTGGTCCATGTTTATGACAAGTTTGTGCGTTTTCTTTGGCAGGATGGACGGGCAGCATCGTCAATTCTGGTTGGTGCTATGTTCATTTTCTGTAATCTCTACTCTACTCCTGGCCCAGCTGTTCGATTGTTATATGCGAAGCGACCAGGAATCGGACTTTCGCCATCCCACAGGAGGTAAAGTAAGCTAGATGCAGAGTAGGCGCAGATGTGATCTAATTGATATTATGTACTTAACAAACAGAAAAAAAACCCTTTTAGATAATTGACTTATCTTCTATTTAGTCAGTTTCCTCCTTTCTCTTATTTAAATTGCATCTCCTTAACTTTTTTTGAATTAAAAGTGCTTCTGACAATAAAATTCTAAAATTTTTACAGTGCCAGTGGTTAACTGATAAATTTAATCTGCTTGGTCAAATAGGAATAGGTGTTTGAATATTGACCTAGTATAAAGCTCCTATAAGCTTTTTCTTTTAATAAATACCCCTTTATCAGTTCTTTGAGGGAAGTATAGCAGTGTCACTAGATAAAAGCATTCCAGAATTATTGGCTGCATGCTCTTTTGCTAGTTCACGTTTACGAAATTAACACGGTAAATTTTTATTGTATTTTTATTTTATTTTATTAATAATTTACAAAAACAAGCCTCATAGCAAAGATCGATTGCTTCTTTCTTTGGGCGTGGTGGGCACCCACAGAATGATAATCTTCTGTTTTAGATACCTGGGCTACATGTGCGACCTCCTAGCAGACAAACCTTACCACCCTCACTTCAAGCCTCTTACAATTAAATCAATCACTGTCAGTCCAGTCCCTTTTTTTAACAAGCAGAGAAATGGATGTCGCCCTTACTGTGATGTACTGATTGGAGAAACCAAAATATATACGACCTGTGCAGATTTTGAACGAATGAAGTAAGTCATGACACTTTTCTTCACTTCTTCTGTGAACTCTTCAGTTCTTCTGTAAGTCAGATCATAGTCATCCTGTGAGGACTACATCATTGCGAAATGACTGATGTTAAAAAACAAACAAACAAACAACTAACATAGGTGGTAATCATAGAAAAGCATAATGAAATCAAAGGATGCCATAGACCTCTTTCAAATGGTGATGCACGCTAAGGGACTAACATGAGCTATAATAAGGGTTAAGATAGTGGTGTGGGACAGCGGACTTGGACATTTAAGAAAGGGATAGCCTTGGTGACATTTGATGAGGATGATGGAAGAGTCGGGGATGAATGAGGTTTGTAGGTGAGCAACTAGGTAGATGGTGATGTAATTAAAGAAGTTATAGAATCTATAAGATAGAGGTGCCAGTGGGAGGTGGTAGGGGGTGTGCAGAGAAGGGACTGGATGGTAACATGAAATGAGATTAGTTTAGAATAGATTGAATTTGAGGATTAGTATCCAAGACCCTCACAGAGCTCTTCCTTGCTCTTTCTATATTGATCTTGGTTGGACTTTTTGTTCCCTCTGTCTCTCCTTTTACTATTAATTTAAAATTAGGGAAAGGCAGGTACATCAGGGCATATTTGAAGAAAAAGAGATCTGCAAAGTAGAGACGGCAAGTTGATTTATCTGAAATTCCAGATGGGGTGGAGAGAGAGGGGCCCTGGCACCAGACCAATGCCATCTCATGGCAGAACCAGTTTGTACCCAGTTGGCTGTGCGCCTGACTTTGATCAAGATAGGAGATGGTTCCTGGGTCTGGGCCTGGGCAGACAGGTCCCTATATCTGTGCAATTGTACCAAATTGGACTCTCTTTCATGTATATTTTTGTCTCTGTTTAAAGAGAATACCGTGTACAAGATGGGAAAATATTCATTCCATTGAGCATCACTGTACAAGGAGATGTGGTTGTTTCTATGTATCACTTGAGGTCAACCATTGGGAGCCGGCTACAGGCCAAGGTATGGTTTCGGGAAGAATCATGGCATGAGCTTCTCTGAGCCTTCAACAGGAATATTTCAGAGATCTTTTCTCCACATTACTTGGGGCTCGAGGGACTCGTGGTTTTAGAATCAGAAGGAGCCTTGAAAGATTGCTTATGCTCATCTCCTTCATTTTCAGGGGAGGAAACTGAGACTCAGCAAGGTTGTGACTTGCCCAGATGACTTTGCCAGAAGGTGGCAGCCCTAGAACTTTTAGCAAACCTTGCTCTTTAGAAGCTTGTGCATTTTTTTTTTTTTTTTTTTTTATAATGTCCCATTTGGATCAGTGTGAAGGGGGAATGTTTCTACTAAGGGCGTGGGATTAAGTAATTATATTTTTCCAATGCTTTTACTGCAATAAAATCAACATAACATAAAATTCACCCTTTTAAAATGTACAGTACATTTGTTTTTAGTATTTCAAAAGGTTGTGCAACCATCAGCACTCTCTAATTTCAGAACATTTTCATCACCCCCAAAAGAAACCCTGTACCCATTAGCAGTCACTGCCTATTCCCCCTCCACAAGCGCTAATCTCTTTTCTGCCTCTATGGATTTACCTATTTTTGACATTTCATACAAATAGAATCATACAACATATGGTCTTTTGTGACTGGCTTTTTTTCACTTACATAATGCCTTTGTTTATCTATGTTATAACATGTAATAGCACTTCATTCCTTTGGCCAAATAACATTCTATTGTATGACTATGCCACCTTTTACTAATTCCTTCATCAATTGATAGACATTTGGGTTATTGCCACTTTTTAGATATTACAAATAATGCTACAAGTAATTGTATTTTAATTAATCAGATATTTGCTAAGCGCATGGTCTATGCCAGTTATTGCGTGTATGTTCAGTCTTGACAAGAATAGGACTATGCCCCTGCCTGTAAGGAGCTCATCCTAGTGTGGGAAATTCACACACGTATAAATGTTCCACTGCCATGTTAGAGGTAGCATCAGCTGCTACAGTAGGAGCAGTTTTTTTCAGCCAGTGGTGGCTCAGAAATGCTATAGAGAGGATATGACCTCTCATGGTGGGCCACGAAGGATGAGTTCATCAGGTTGGAGCAGGAGCATCCTGAATTGAAGGAATGGAATGAGTCAAGATATGTCAGTGTGCAAGAACATGGAACATTAGTAGATGAGAAAATGGCTTGCCCAGGCAGAGTTCATGAAGAAGAGAGGCCAGAGATGAAGCTGTTCCAAATGGAGAGGTCATTTAACATACAAAATAAGCAAAGATTCAAAAGTAGAAACAGTTGAAGGTGCATGGCTCCCGAAAACATAATCTTGATCCGATTCCCTTTTCCCTGATTGTAATATGCTTCTCTCATGTATTTTTAGGTGACCAATACTCAGATATTCCAGCTTCAGTTTCATACTGGATTTATACCACTGGAAACAACAGTTTTAAAGTTTACCAAGTGAGTGCTTCTTGAGCCAAAAACCCTTTTCAATCCAAGTAGTGCAAAATGCTGGGAGCCAATTGCTCAGTGCTATGCTGTAGCATCTCTGAATCCTGCTTGGCAACACAGAGAGGCTGGTGGCATTTTACAGCTTGCACTTGGATATGATTTGTCTTGAACAATGGTTAAAAGGATTTTAGATAGAAAGGCCTAAAATTCCATGTGAGGGATCAGGAGGGAACAAAGTATCAGTACTGTGATCCTTGGTATCTGTGTATCCTTTTGTGTTTTTCAACAGGGGTGGCAGTTTCATCAGTAGTATGATATGAGCAGTGACCCTTCAGAATGGATGCCAGGCCATAGCACCGAGGCAGGGTCCTAGGAAAGCCCTCTGCCCCAGGCATTAATCCTTAGTTACAATATTATGGTATGGTCTAGGGAACCCAGGAAGGTGGCTGAAGCTGTGATGAGAGATGGGAACTGCTGCGTCAGGCTAGGGATAGACATTTGAGAGCTCGAGGTGGCGGCTGTGGGCCTGTTTCACTATTTTAACAATGACTGGCAATGCTGGTGCACACTGGGAGAATGTGTCAGCCCTGCTTTGTAGAATGCTTTCACATCCAATAGTATGTAAATTCTTTGAGTAGGCATTATTCTCCTTTTTTCTCTGGACGAGGGAACTGAGGCTCAGACCAGTAAAGTAACTTAGCTGATTAATGACTGATTTTTCTCTAGAAATGAGCCTCAGAGTTAACCTAGGTTTCTGTGCTGAACATCGTACTGCTTCCATTGTTTTTCACTGACCTGATTCTTTTACATCCCTTTTTAGGCCTGAGTTGGATGCATGCGATGTACCAGAAAAATATCCTCAGCTATTTCAGGTGACTCTGGATGTAGAACTGCAGCCCCACGACAAAGTGATAGACTTAACCCCACCGTGGGAACATTACTGCACAAAAGATGTCAATCCCAGCATCCTCTTCTCTTCTCACCAGGAACATCAAGATACTCTGGTCTTAGGAGGTATGAGTCACCTGGTGGTTCTGTTTTCTGCTCAAAGCCTCTGTGTTATTTATCACGTTGACTTATTTCCTGTGTTTCATTAACACCTCATGGCCTTTTGTCTTGCAGGACAGGCTCCTATAGATATCCCTCCGGACAACCCCAGGCATTTTGGTCAAGGGGGCTTCTTTTCCTCTCTCTGTTGGCAAGGTACTTTTAAGCATTTCTTAAGTAACATGGTTAGATGATTAAGTTACACAGTTTTTCTATAAAGATGATTAGTTCTTGAAGCAGCCTAAAGTAAAGCAGCACTGAGAAGTCATGCAGCTTCCTCCTTATTTCACACTCTCTTTGCTCATCCCTTTTTAAAATCAGGCAGCTTTCCTACTTTCAAGTTCATACATGGGTCTTAGACTGATGCAAAAGGCTACTTTAAGTTGAATTCTCCCTTTTCTCTCTATGCAGTATGTTGGATCACATCTTTCCTAGATTTACAATAAGCGTGGCATTTTCTAGGATCTCCCTTTATGCTGCTGACTCACAAATTAACAAAGACACAATCTCCTGCCCTCAACTAACTAATCTAAAAGTATAAAATCTGGTATTTCCCTTAGAGGGCTCTAAACACTAGCAGGGCAGAGCTGAGCTCCCCCTGGTGCAGGGAAGGCAAACACTTACCTGTTGTCTCTGCTATTTGCTTTAACCACTATGGCAGAAATAAGACTCCATCACAGTATCTTTTTCTGC